TGAGGTGTAGAATTACAGGGTTAAGGCTATATGAGGTGTAGAATTACAGGGTAGGGCTATATGAGGTGTAGAATTACAGGGAAGGGCTATATGAGGTGTAGAATTACAGGGTAGGGCTATATGAGCTGTAGAATTACAGGGTAAGGATATATGAGGTGTAGAATTACAGGGTAGGGCTATATGAGGTGTAGAATTACAGGGTAGGGCTATATGAGGTGTAGAATTACAGGGTAGGGATATATGAGGTGTAGAATTACAGGACATGGCAGTCTGAGGTGTAGAATTACATGGTTAAGGCTATATGAGGTGTAGAATTACAGAGTAGGGATATATGAGGTGTAGAATTACAGGGTAGGGCTATATGAGGTGTAGAATTACAGGGTAGGGCTATATGAGGTGTAGAATTACAGGGTAGGGATATATGAGGTGTAGAATTACAGGGTAGGGCTATATGAGGTGTAGAATTACAGGGTAGGGCTATATGAGGTGTAGAATTACATGGTTAAGGCTATATGAGGTGTAGAATTACAGGGTAGGGATATATGAGGTGTAGAATTACAGAGTAGGGATATATGAGATGTAGAATTACAGGGTAGGGCTATATGAGGTGTAGAATTACATGGTTAAGGCTATATGAGGTGTAGAAGTAGATTTGCAGGGCTGTTTGAGGTGTAGAAGTAAATTTACAGGGTAGGGCTATATGAGGTGTAGAATTACAGGACATGGCAGTCTGAGGTGTAGAACTACAGGGTTAAGGCTATGTGAGGAGTAGAATTACAGGGTAGGGATATATGAGGTGTAGAATTACAGGGTAGGGCTATATGAGGTGTAGAATTACAGGATAGGGCTATATGAGGTGTAGAATTACAGGGTAGGGATATATGAGGTGTAGAATTACAGGGTAGGGCTATATGAGGTGTAGAATTACAGGATAGGGCTATATGAGGTGTAGAATTACAGGGTAGGGATATATGAGGTGTAGAATTACAGGATAGGGCTATATGAGGTGTAGAATTACAGGGTAGGGATATATGAGGTGTAGAATTACAGGATAGGGCTATATGAGGTGTAGAATTACAGGGTAGGGATATATGAGGTGTAGAATTACAGGATAGGGCTATATGAGGTGTAGAATTACAGGATAGGGCTATATGAGGTGTAGAATTACAGGGTAGGGATATATGAGGTGTAGAATTACAGGGTAGGGCTATATGAGGTGTAGAATTACAGGATAGGGCTATATGAGGTGTAGAATTACAGGGTAGGAATATATGAGGTGTAGAATTACAGAGTAGGGATATATGAGGTGTAGAATTACATGGTTAAGGCTATGTGAGGTGTAGAAGTAGATTTGCAGGGCTGTTTGAGGTGTAGAAGTAAATTTACAGGGTAGGGCTATATGAGGTGTAGAATTACATGGTTAAGGCTATATGAGGTGTAGAAGTAGATTTGCATGGGCTGTTTGAGGTGTAGAAGTAAATTTACAGGGTAGGGCTATATGAGGTGTCAAATTATAGCTATATAAGGTATTTCGTTACAGACTGGCAAGTTTAAAAAATTAATGCATTAGCAATTTTCTTCAAATGTCAAAACTTGCAGGCAATTCATTTACTAGTAATTATATATTCACAATTTAAATACAAATTGCAATCTAATAGACTGTCATGTTAAACCACAACCCATCTGCCCGAATGAAAGACAGACAGACTTTGGTTATAGTCACGTATTAATTCTATCGTCATGAAAGATCAATACTAAATTTGATGTTTCACACTGTTTTTGATGTTTCTATATATTTTCCGAGGTAGACTGTCACTTAGTGATAATGGCATTACATCACGATATCTGTATACATGAAGAATTACGGGGTAATAAAAAAGAGGGAACACCTGCGTGTGCTGGTGCCTTGGGGAGATAGTCACATTACACACCTCGGTGCAACAAAGGATACTAGTCATTACAGCCAAGTTGTTGGAATCGTCATTTCCTGGCTTGTCAGTCTATTCAATACAAGGGAGTGTTTACCAAAGTAAATTAGCACCAAAATAGAAGACAACAAAAGACCTGAATGCATTATCGTGAAAGAGAGTAGTATTACATAGTTGAGCATTGACATTGTTCTGTTGTCCGGGGTGTGTTATAGCAGGATACGGCTGCCGCTTAAACTAGAAGTCGGCGAGTAACACAGTACGGTTGGACTGGCGCCTTAAACTGGAGGTCGACGTGTGTAGCACAGTAAGGTTCGATTCGCGCCTTAAACTGGAGGTCATCCTATCGATTTTTACAACACCGACAACTGACTAGTTAGTGTTAAGTTGGGGCCAGTCTTCGTCGGGTAGTGTTGATATATGTGTGAATATTTAGCATGAATATAAGTGCCGCTTAAAAACATTTAGTTCGGACGAGTGTCCCTGCAACGGGAAGTAGATGTTACGATACGAACGAGTCCAAAGTCCAGTCCGTGTTTCCGGTCTTTGTGCATCGTGGACTCGGGACAGTGTATACATTTTCGGCGCGTTATATCAGCAGATTGCATGCCAAGGTAAGAAATATGATTTCACGTCAAGTATACATCTCACTTTCCAAGTTTCACATATGAAGCATAACATGAATGTGGTGTGAGCACAGGGTCAGTGGTGTACGTACACAGTGCAGGGCCTTGGGCTATCGTATGGGTATACTAGTTTCTTGTACAGCACGCACTAATACCACGGCAGTATTTATTTATCGGATGATTTGTGGATTAAATCTTATAATTCCTTGACTGTATTAATTATCATCCTAGGTTAATCGAATGTTTTAATCCAATTATTTACTAATATGGACGTGTGAACGATCTTCCACTTAATATATTATTAGCCATGCTGTACTACGTACACGGACGTTGCATGGACCGTGGAGGAAACACATACAACCACTTTATATTTCAATACACGGACTTACATGGGTCAAATGTACAGCATGGGTACACGAAATGGGGCTGGGTGTGGGTGCTTGTTAACCTTGGTCTATTCCTTCACATGGCAGGTATACGAACATCGTTCACTGACAGTTCTCTGCACCGATTCACAAATTTACATGTGGCAACTTGCTTTACTATATGTAGAATTGACGATTTTTACGTATTTCGTATATATTCGTACAGTGGCGGATCCAGCAAAATGTAATGGGGGGGGGGGTCCAAGCTACGCTTAAAATTTACGGAGCGTAAATCACAGAGAAGCTATGCGTAATACAGATGATGTGAATCGTCATGAGTTTTGGGGGGAGTGCCCCCTGGTCTCCCTCTAGATCCGCCACTGTATTCCTATATATATATATATATATATACATATTGGCATGCTGCAGTTTCGCTTTGGTAATAATTCGCCGACAGATGGCAAGTACAGCAGCCCTATTGGCCTTGCACGGCGCTCATTGGCTGTTTCAGCACCAAAGAACAAAGGCACAACTATGCACATGAAAGTCCTTAGTGAGTTTATTAATACTAGAAGCCATTGGGTCCGTCTATTCACTGTCTGACTGTTTTCGATGAACATAATGGGTCTCGGTCCCCACCCCCCCTTCATTATAGGAAAGTAATTCTCGGTCACCGTCTGTCATTTTAATATCGCATCCATGTAAGTTGTTATTTTCAATTTTGCTACGCTATTTTTTTAGTTTCTGTTAATTTTTAATATTGCCATTATTATAGCAGTGCAATATTAACTCGGCTATATTGACATGTTATAGTTACTATGGTGAACCCCAAATGCAGCATGTTTGCTTTATTATCTGAACAGCATACGAATGTTGTTATAGATTCGTCTGCTCTGACCGTATCTTGCGTTTCCATTGCTAATACTGTTTTCGTACCAGTTATACACTTAAAGATAACATTGTATTCACTCGTCACTGGGCTTTCCCGTGCAAATGTACTGTGAAATGAATACCTCGATCACTTCCTGTAGAAATTCAATATCTACTTTAGGTAGAAGGCCGTCATTGTACCACGGAGGTAAACAAAATATCATACATGTTACAATCCATCGTAGTTTGCTGATAGAAACTGTGCATTCCAGTCTCATAAGTGACGTCGTTTAGCAGATTTTAATGCAAATGTTAATCTGTGGTTATATGGGTCAGCTGTGTGGACAAGCTGTACAAATGCAAGATTGGCGTCACCCTGGTTAATTATTATCGTTCTTACTATTTACAGATAATTTATCCCAGTAGTTCTGATTTTCTTTGTCAGAATGACTTTTCAGATGAGTGCGTTGGTTTTTTGCTCTCTGGTATTAATGAATACACTATGTGTATTTGACGCAGTGCCTACTAGTCACAAGACAAGTTTACAAAGTAAGTCTTATTACTCGCATCGTTCTTGACACCGATGGAATTTTACGAATATATCACACGTGTTTTATATGTATACAGTTTGCATTGTAAACAGTTAATGTTAGCACCTATTTTCAGGTATAACATGAACCAGTGTCAACATAGTATTGGATATAAAAATTACAATTCATCTGTGTGTATTTTGTGGGCATATTTCTTATTTTAGTTAAGAGATGGATTTTCTTATTGTGGTGTGTGCCGATGTCGTTACGCGTTTAATATTCACCGGGAAATCATTCTTGCTTTTGTAAATTTCCCTGAGACAATGAGTGTTTGGTGGTATGAATGGAAATGTCTCGCATGATAAATAGTACAGTCAATAAAGCTCTGGTTTTGAACGCTTCGAACAATACTGTACTGTCAGAACATTGAACTCTGACAACGCACGAAGGTCGTACATCTCTAATAGTGTTGAATATATCTATTTCCCCCCAGAACTGACTAAAGTTGGCGTAGAGGCAATTCGAAATGATCTCAGCGAAGGGATACATAAATTGAGAGAAGTCCACGGTCTGATGTTAGACGATGAACGTGTTAGAATAATTGCCATGCACCAAGCAAACCGAACCCATCAATTAGCGCTACAACACTTAATTACAGAGTGGGAAAACCTAAAGTACACCAATCAAACTTGCGTTAGTAGCCTTCAAGAACTCTATGTAAAGCAGTGCATACCCTGTCTTATTTGGGAATGCGTCGAGCGCTATGATACGTATTGCCGCCTAGTGCCCGTTCAACAAGCCGACGTCGCATTGCTCACTGCGGGCGAATTTGAGACGAATGTTCGCGGAATTTTCGAAGACGGTGTAAATGACGTTTTGGAAACAAATATTCAAGAATGGTTCACAAGCAGTGATGACAATTTGGTTTATCTCATAGATGAATTGGATTGGCTGTGGTTACAAATACAACGTACAGCGGAAGATATAAGCGCTTTCGGAACAGGTGATGCCCGGGGAGGCTGGCTTGTTGACATCACTGATGAGTTTATTGAATTTTTCATCAATAATCTTAATGCTTGGCTGAAGAGGGAAGGCGACGAAATTGTTGATTCAGTTACAGACCGAGTTGATGGATGGTTTGATAACTCAGATGAAAGCTTTTTGGAAAATGTCAAGAAAACACTAGGATCGTTTTGGGACGACTTGACGGATTGGGTTGATGACACTAAATCGGCTGCGAGTGAGTCTTTGACTGCAGTAAAAGATGACGTCAGTGGGTTCTACAACGAAAATATCAGCCGTCACGTTACCAAGATAACAAATAAAACAGTTGAAACTTTCCATGACATTCAGGACACTATTGACGATTATTACAATACGCATTTAGCAGAATCAACTAATGACTCAAACAAAATGGACAATCTCGTCACTTCCAGTGGCGTTGGGGATAAACCAGATGACGTCACAGAATGGTTTGATGATACATTTTCTACCGTTTTCAAAGTCGTGGCAAATAAGACAAGAGAACAGGTGGACACTGTGTTTGGCGGTCTTCGTGATCTCTTTGGTACGTTATCTGTATTTAAAAATCTTTATTACACAACTACAGGCCGTCCGGATATGACTTCGTAAAATGTTGGGTTTATAGTCCGGGCTCTATTCTATACTGTGAATTGCGAGTTTCTACTATAAACAGTTATATTAAATTTGACTATAATGCATTGTAAGCCGTTGTTCATGCCAGGAGTGTTTTTTAACATTTTATTCACAGGTGGTCGCTTCCACGACAGGCGTCGACGATCGACTTCAGACAGTAGCATTGCCCTGGGCCGCCTCAATACGTCCCGCCGTGGAGATCGCCAGGCCACGTGCAAGGAGTTGAATGATGACGGAAGTCGTGGTCAGGCTTGCATGGCGTTTGCTTCAAAGTGTCCCGATTGTAACCTGCTCCCACAAACAGGTGAATACATTTTTTTTTCTTGTTCTTAGTTTGGAGTGAGCCAGGAAAACAAACTCATATTGTGTATCATGAATGTGGGTAGGCACGTGACATATTCAATATAATACGTAGATGTTATTGTGAGACTTCGACCGTTGCTTAATGTAGTCAGACACGTGCACTTGCATATTAATAAGGAAAGTGACACGCGCCGTGCTATAGTATCTGTCAATGTGATCAGCTCCTGTTCGCAGTTCCCAGTTGAATTCGGTGTTGAATCACAATTGGTTCTCACCAACACAAATAAATCGGGTACTCGTGGTTTAGGTTGATGTTCTTGTCTTGTTTTCTGTACTATGATATTTGAACACCACCAGTCTAAATTGACTGCATTGGATGGTGGCTAAATCACGTGACAATAGCATTGTTATCAATTATTGGATGCCAATATGTGTTTGGTATACTGGCACATTGTCGTATACTGGGGTGGGATGAATCGCTTGATGCAGTGTGATATGTGGTTCAGTGGCAGATGGTTAGTAATGCCCGGAGGGAGGGAGGCCCGATGATTGTGACAATAATTACAATAAGTGTATTTACTGAAGGCAATTGATATGCAAATTAAGTGTCACGATTTCTCAAAGAAGCATCAGTGTTAATAGAAATGAATGAAGTGATGTACAACGTGTCCATGAAGCAGTCAATTTACATGTTTTAGTTTTCCTTATCCGGTATTTCTCTTCTTTCATAACAGACTGTGCAGGTTTGGGACATGCCAAGGAAGCAGTCTACAAATCACTCGTTGATTTCACCAATGCCACTGCAATGTACAAAACCGTATTTGAAGCTTTCAGAGAGGGACAAGAGGAGTATTACAGTGGTTTGCAGAGTTTAGCAAGTCGATACAGATGGATTGCTAATTTTCAACAACTTCCTCTAAACAAACGTGGATATAGGATACTTAAGGTAAGTTATGTTAATACGTGATGACAGTAACACCTCTCAACCCAACGCACAATTCAAACTGAAACAAGATGTTTAATTTCTATTGGCGGATTGAATAACATTGGAACGTGTTGAAATTATGTCAATGCACACTACCCTCGCTGGTTTGATTTACTGGCATTGACATTTATAAATATTTATAAAGATGAAGGGAATACCTTTGTTGCACCAAGAGTAGTGTGTTCATTTAAATATGTTGTGGATATTCTTATCAAAGCTGATTTGTTTTAATTTGTATTATTGAATATTCTGCTTACATTTGGTATTCTATACACACTGAAAAACACCACAAAACGTGGGTGTCAACACTTTTCATCTTCCATTATATAGTGAATTTCATAAAAGCATGAACATTTTAAATGGAAATTAATAAAATATTCATAAAACAATTACCAAGGGAGACCTCAATCCAAAGATTACGTTTTTCACTGGCTGTAGAAGTCATTTGGTCCACTACCCATGAGTCTTTGCAAGTTTCTTTTTATCATTGGCCATGCATCTATTTAGGTGTTGTGATTGGTCAAGTTGTTTTCAAATGTTATTTCAAATAACATCCATGCCATCATGAAATTCACTGTAATTCCTTCTTGATGTAAGAACATTATAACATAAATATACAAGTTTGTCAATATCAAATATAAATAAAATTTATTTTCTATATTGTTATTTTTTTTATATTGCAGTTAAATTTTGAACCAGCCGTGGAAGATTCTGATCCAAGTAATGAGTTTTCACCTGTAGAAGTGACTGTTGTAATGTTTGGTGAATCGCCATATACTTTTGTTGTAGACTTGCCAGTAAACCCAATGAACTATGATATTGCAGGAACTGTGATTGCTGCAAGAGCATTGGCAAAGTACGCTAGTCATGCAGTGTAATGATAGCGCCCTCTATGTTCTGTAATTGAATATTTAACATATGTGATAGTGTGAATATGTATATTGTTATTAGTTTTAAACAAGCTGCCAAAGAATTTTACCGTTATATTTCTTGTCTGTCGCCTTTACTCTTAAAAGAGTGTTTTGGATGTTGTATGTGTGTACTGCCAATGTGATGAAGTGATTGCGGCTATGCTACTTATCAACCAGTATTTTATGTGATTTTATAGAAAAGTTTATGATTTTTTTAAAGAAAATGCATAATTGTTTGTGACAATTAAAGTGAAATTATACAATGTTTGTTGGTTATTTCATTCCTATTGCACTTGGGAAGATAAGAACAAAGATATTGAATATCTACTACCTTGCATGCTGTTGAATAGAAAATTATTGAAATTTATGAAATTTTTTAGCAATGAGTTAATGCTCCCTAACAACAAAATGCTTGTCATGCTAAGTCCTGCCCTCCAGGGACAAATCCTTTTGTGACGTAAATCAGTCCCGCACAATATGTCACCAACACCACAATAAGTGAGGGGGGTATTGAATCAAGTATGATATAATACCTGGGCCACCCTTCTCAAACATATGCCATGACATATTGCCAACTGGGTAACCCCTCTCAAATATGTGCTATAACATTGACATTATTCATTTTGAATAGAACATAGTCACCCCTCTCAAATATGTACCATAACACCTTACCACTTGGGTCACCCCTCTAAAATATGTACCATGAAATCTTGCCACTAGGGCCACCCCTCTCAAATATGTACCATGATATTTTGCCACTTGGGTCACCCCTCTCAAATATGTGCCATAACATCTTGCCACTTGCGTCACCCCTCTCAAATATGTGCCATGATATCTTGCCACTTGGGTCACCCCTCTCAAATATGTACCATAACATCTTGCTACTTGGGTCACCCCTCTAAAATATGTACCATAACATCTTGCCACTTCGGTCACCCCTCTCAAATATGTACTATGAAATCTTGCCAATTGGGTCACCCCTCTAAAATATGTACCATGAAATCTTGCCACTTGGGCAACCACTCTCAAATGTGTACCATAATATTTTGCCACTTGGGTCACCCCTCTCAAATATGTGCCATGAAATCTTGCCACTTGGGTCACCCCTCTCAAATATGTACCATGACATCTTGCCACTTGGGTCACTCCTCTCAAATATGTGCCATGAAATCTTGCCACTTGGGTCACCCCTCTCAAATATGTACCATAACATCTTGCCACTTAGGTCACCCCTCTCAAATATGTACCATGAAATCTTGCCACTTGGGTCACCCCTCTAAAATATGTACCATAACATCTTGCCACTTGGGTCACCCCTCTCAAATATGTACCATGAAATCTCGCCACATGGGACACCCCTCTCAAATATGTACCATAACATCTTGCCACTTAGGTCACACCTCTTAAATATGTACCATGAAATCTTGCCACTTGGGTCACCCCTCTAAAATATGTACCATAACATCTTGCCACTTGGGTCACGCCTCTCAAATATGTACTATAACATCTTGCCACTTGGGTCACCCCTCTCAAATATGTGCCATAACATCTTACCACTTAGGCCACCCCTCTCAAATATGTACCATAACACCTTGCCACTTGGGTCATCCATCTCAAATATGTACCATGAAATCTTGCCACTTGGATCACCCCTTTTAAATATGTACCATGACATCTTGCTACTTGGGTCATCCCTCTTAAGTATGTGCCATGAAATCTTGCCACTTGGGTCACCCCTCTCAAATATGTAAAATAACACCTTACCACTTAGGTCACCCCTCTCAAATATGTACCATAACATCTTGCCACTTGGGTCACCAATCTCAAATATGTACCATAACATCTTGCCACTTGGGTCACCTATCTCAAATATGTACCATGAAATCTTGCCACTTGGATCACCCCTCTCAAATATGTGCCGTGACACCTTGCCACTTGGGTGTCCCCTCTCAAATATGTGTCGTAACATCTTGCCATTTGGGTCACCCCTCTCAAATATGTACCATAACATCTTGCCACTTGGATCACCCCTCTCAAATATATACCATGAAATCTTGACACTTGGGCCACCCCTCTCAAATATGTACCATAACACATTTCTGCTTGCGTCACCCATCTCAAATATGTACCATGACATCTTGCCACTTGGGCCACCCTTCTCAAATATGTACCATAACACCTTGCCACTTGGGTCACCCCTCCCAAATATGTACCATGACATCTTGCCATTTGGGTCACCCCTCTCAAATATGTACCATAACATCTTGCCACTTGGATCTCCCCTCTCAAATATATACCATGAAATCTTGACACTTGGGCCACCCCTCTCAAATATGTACCATAACACATTTCTGCTTGGGTCACCCATCTCAAATATGTACCATGGAATCTTGCCACTTGGGCCACCCCTCTCAAATATGTACCATAACACCTTGCCACTTAGGTCACCCCTCCCAAATATGTACCATGACATCTTGCCATTTGCGTCAACCATTCCAAATATGTACCATGACATCTTGCCATTTGGGTCACCCCTCTCAAATACGTACCATAACATCTTACCACTTGGGTCACCCATCTCAAATATGTACCATGACATCTTGCCACTTGGGTCACTCCTCTCAAATATGTGCCATGAAATCTTGCCACTT